CAGCCTGCTGACCATAAGCTCAGTGTGGCGAGGAATACAGTAAACGCCGTTGCAGGAAGACGGCCTGTTCAAAATCACCGACTGCGTGACGCGAAAATGAATAGAATATCTCTCCCATCTTCAGAGCATCTGACAATTTTTATACTATTAATTATCACTATTCATGTTAAGGGGGAAAAAGGCCAATTAAATATCTGGCACACAACATAAGTAACCCGGATCAAAGTAACATTACGTACGCTCGCGGCACTGTGAGTGCCAGACGTCGATGTGTCCCATTATCATTCATACATCATATCACATCTATCGTATCATCGTATTTCCTTATGCTGAGTCAGCTAGCCGTATCTGGCCGTGACTACAGTGAACATACTTATGCAGAATATATATTAAGCAACAACATAAGTTACGAAACACCCGAGTCAAATGTAATTAAAGTCAGATCCACTCGTGTCTTAGCAGTGATATCATAAACCTGTTAATGTACGCATTCAAACACTTTTTCTTTTACCAGCTGTATTCACCTTGCAGGTGCAGCTATGTGGCTTTTATCCTGGATAAAGTATTTAAGTCATGGATGTTTAAAGTTTAACTTCTTCATATTTGTATAATTATAGTTCACTTTTCATTCACGAAGTATGACGCTGCGCTTTCAGTGCGCTTCTCCATGTTTGTGATTGGTCAAATGTTGCTAACCCCGCCCCTTTTATGTGAACATGCACCTAACTAGATAGGACACGGCTGGCTTGAGCGATCCACTTGATAACCCGCGTCGTAGGACCATTTAGCAAGGAGTGCGTATGTTTTGGATTAGGCCAACCGGCTAACTCAAACATATCCAGGTTATGTTGAACCAGCTTCGTACTCTGATAATGTTATGATTCCAGATAAGCAATCTGAGTTATCTTGAGTGAACTTTTTATTGAAATGGATTAAAAGTTGTGTAGCATATGACACCCTCTATCTTAGGATCCTTGATTTGGTGAAGGAAGAAATTAAAATAAAAAAACGTTACAAAAAAGGGGAAGAAATTGTGTTGAAGTCACACAGCAATGCAAACCACAATAGGCAAGGGTTAAGAGGCCTATATTAAATCCAGCTAAACCCAATGTAGCTGGAATGCACCAGCACCCTACTGCACGTAATGAAGGAGAGAAAGTAAATACTTCTGTTTTAGGCTGAGCTCAGGAGGTGTGCAGGAATTTGTTGTTATGTTAATCATTTTAGTTGCTACCTCTTCAGACGTAGGAGAGTAGAAAACAACTGTGATCTAAAATGTTTTATCATTGTTATTCTTTTACGGGGGTCTTACAATTTGTTTCAAAACGTGCACCCCATGAAAATCAAGAGAGCACTGGAGAGAAAACTATGATTCTCAATAACCGTATATGAAGATTAATGAGCACTAGAGCTCCTACCTTTCATGTTGGGGTCTGGCTTTTTGACAGCAGCCATTGGTGAGCCGCTGGACATGTTGGGTTGGCCGGCGCGGCCTGCAGGTCGGGGAGACCCCGAGGTGGTCCTGCCCGGAGACTCCTGCAACACACAAACCAGGACAGGACTGTGGTCAGAAACACAAGCGTGTCTATCGAGGAGAAATCGGATAAAGTGGCAAGAGGAATAAATCCATCCACTACAAATATTGCACATTATAGGGACTTTAAGACACTTACTGTTGCTCCTCTGGTTGGTGTGGCGGGCTGCTTTGATAACAAAGACTGTAGGGGAATAAAAGTAAACATCTTTATTCCGCCATGGTTAAACTAATACTTTCTATGCACAATCCATTTAAGGCAATATGCAAAAGGATTTACTAATTATAAACATACATATTTATACCATTTATTCAAGATAATAGAATAATTATTTAAAAACTTTCATTTAGATGTCTCTAACAGGGACATTCAGCAAAGATGCATTACATGGCATTGTGTAGAGAAAACTAAACGTGTAACTATTAACTAATTTTCTATCTTGCAAAACAAAAACCTCTGTTAAGTTTTTTTCTTAGATCTCCTTCCTGGTTTATTTGTGTACAAAATAGGAAGTGAAGGCAAAGTCAGGTGGAAGTATCACATATACATCAGCGAAATGTGCTTGTTCAGAATCAGTAAAAATGTACAAAAGGATTCTTGAGTCTACTTATTCACTGAATTGAAAACAATGTTTTTTGGTTCAGGCTACCATGTCTCATGTTTCACTTCTAAAGCACCTACACCATTTGGAAATGTCAGTATTATGCTTTCCTGTTTAATCAGGGGAGTGAATTCTTCAATACACTGTCAAACTTGGCAGTCGCAGACAGAACATATGAAATATTCAAGAAAGACTGACACATACCTGTTGCTTCATTAGGAAAACCTGCTCATCCTCTGCATTAATCTCTTTGTCATGTACCAGCTGTAAACAAGATCAAAGGAGAAAGCATGTTCTTATTCATTTAGCGCTTTAGGTTGTGATTTCATACTCTAAAGTTCACATTTAGTTTGATCTGCCATACCTTTCGTACTGGAGGCATTGTGATAAAATCTTCAAATGGATCGTCTGGTCTGACTGTTGTTAGGTTTTCATGCAAAATAGCAATTTTCTTCTCATTATCCCATCCACATGGACTGAAAGGAAAAAGAGACAGTTCAAAAAAAGTGGATACAATCATCTGATTTCTGGTTTGGCGGATTTTTCTTTGAATAAATTGGAGATTTGGTTTCGTTAATGTCAGTGATAACAAAAGAAGGAAAAATGGCTGTTGGCAAAAAATAAACATGATCAAGTTCAAATAAAATAGCTTTACTCACATGAACACTGCATCCTTCTCTACCACTAAGGCTGGTGAGGTGAACTTGAAGTCATACATCTTATGCACTATATATTTGTAAAGCAGATCCAGGTTCTTCTCCTCTTTGACGGAAGTGTAGATCAGGCCAGCTCCATCTGTTTACTTAAATTAAGGCTTGTTGGGTCAACGATGTAGATGGTCGATTAATTGATGACAATAAATAAACCTCATGTGCAATATGAACAACATTTAGAACACTCAATCCTATAGGTGTCATGACATTTGTGATAGAATTGTAAACAATCGTGTATTGGAAGGATACACTGTAAGCAAAATCGCCTGACGTTGGACTGGATGAAATCAAAGTGCTCATCTCTGAAATCGTGCTCTTTCTCTAGAACGCCGACTGCGTCACACTTGAGGAAAAAGAGAGAGAGGAAAAGAGATACACATTTAATGACAGACAATGAAAAGTCAGGATGAAAAACATGAAGGCTGCTCCCTACATCCTGAGCCCATTTTACAGTGTCCTTTGTTGTGATTCTAGATGGTATTCCTAAAAGTCCCCTAACTGACTAGGGGGGACGCAAGTGCAATGCACAAATTCATAAGCTTTGCCTCCAGTGTTGTTGTTTTTTTGCATAGAGTGAAACATCATTTCCATAGGAGGTTTTTCACAGCACAACAATTTTACAGACCAATCGTTTTTCTGTTGGTTTTGATATTAGTCTGCCTGGCAAGGATCATTTTGACAGCCTCTGAAAGTACAGTGGATGCAGAGAACAGAGACAGTTGATGGCGGAGGTAGGAGTTAGTGGGGTGTGTTGTCATAGGAACAAGGGGGAGCAACATGCCCTTGGGAGGCTCCAGGCACAGATGATGTGCTGCTTTAGTGTTTATTGTCCTTCTGGTGAAGCTTCCATGATTAGTCTTGCCAGAAGTTGTGATGGTCAACAGAAGATTGACAGCCCAATTTAACTACTTTTGAACAGCAAACTATAGTCTTGACCTTTTTCTAAAGCTGAACATGTCTTCTCTGATGATAGCTAGATAGAAGCACCAGTGATAAAGAGCACATTCAACATGTTCTAGTCACGGCTAGCATGTGAAGCTCTGCTGACGGCTACAGGGTGTTTTTCGGCACTAGAATTTGCCTGGAGGGTTAACAGGCAAGTATAATGGCTGCTTTTTATTAGAGTTTGCTGCCTCACAAAGCACAACATAAAAAGCATGTATAAAAGGTCTGAGCCTGAATGTGTGCATCATGGAGGCCATTAAAGAACCCAGCAGAAGGAAAGCAGCAGTAAGCACGGCTGTGATGGAGTTAAAAAGAGGCTTCCTGTGCCTGTTTGTCTCAGGCAGATCAGGGGAAAGTTGGGAGAGGTTCCTACAGGAACAGTCTACAACTGCTTGGACTACACATTTTGAAAAAAGCAGATCCAAGGGAGTAAGGGGAGTTTAGAGAAGCTATGAACCACAGCCACATGTGGGCTGAATGAGCTTCTGGAAAACCATTCAGCAACTAAGGAGTGAGCGGCAGGATGTTACTTAGGGGGTGGACCATGTGTTTCTCAGGCTTTTTATGAGGATATTGTGAATTAGGAGCTCTTTGAGGAACTGCTAAATGCAGTGGAAACAGAAGGCTCATTAGGGGGGAAAGATAGGACAAGTACAATTTCTTAAAACCAAAGTAGCCAGATGTAAAGATTAAGGGAAGTTGCACTTTTTAGGAAATGAAAATGGGTTAAACAATCTCATGCTTTTCGATAAGCCAGTAAAGATTTGACATCACATTCGGAAAAACACCAAACCAAACAAACACAAAACAACAGTGATGTTTTGCATGAGGGCTTGTTGTTTTCTTTTGCAGCTAACGGAACAATTTTGTTGTACTGCATAGCCATGATTAAGTATTCCATTCGATTTTTTCATCTTTCTTTTGACTCTCTGGTGACAAGGATGTTTTATCCGTCAGAGAAATAGCAAATATGTTATCTCAGTGAAGATTGGTAAAAACCTTGGAGCAACAACAACACATTATTGTCTGTTGATAATAACATTTAACAAATGGCTTCAAACATAAGACTTTTTGCATGTAGGACATATTTACCTTTGTGCAAACTATTAGCACTGGAATGCCCAGGTTGTGTGTGAGTGTGCTCTCTCCCAGTGGGAGCACAACGGCCTCGTCTTCCCCTCCTGTGGGGGCCCGTCTCTGTGGGGAGGACTGGGCGGCATCCTCTGGTTCTGTGTACTCTTGGAACGCTTTCACCACTAGCGGAGAGACACAGCAAGCAAAATAAAGAATTTCATTAGTTATAAGTGAACACCACAACATAATAAACATTTCAAATGTTACCCAACATTTTTATTATTTTTAGAAGGTCAAGCAGTCATGAATAAAACATGTGACCAACAGTATTTATGAAGACTACAGTAAACCTGCCTCTGCTTCTCTTTCCTACACTGGCAGTCTAATAATAATGTTCACTTTGGTCATGTTAGCTCTCTCTGTAGTGTAGTGATCCAAAACACAGAATAACACTCTCAGGATCCTGGGCAAAAGTTGTTTAACTGCCTATTTACAAACAATCGTAACTACAAATAATCCAGGCATTAGCAACACATTGAGCAAGATTACTTAGTCATTGTAGTAACAAACTATTCAAACAAAACAAAAAATAACATTAAGCTGAAAGTCTTGAAAGCTGTAAAAATGCTCCACTTGGTCTGTCTGTAGCCCCAACATCTGCACTTGACCTTCGGGGGAACCTTTGGTGTAGTTACAGAACCAGACATCCCCTGCTTTAACGAACAGTACTCATTTATGTGCTCCACCTCAAACTGTGGGCCTCATGCTGAAACATTCTGTTACATTTCTAAAACTCAACATGCACAAAACACTCTACAAATACTAATGTAATTATTACTATACAACATATTAAAATCATATTTAGATTATTTTTTGTTATTATTTCAATGTTCAAAACGTTTGTTTCTTTGCGTTTTGGAGTTACTTTTGAATGAACAAAACAAATAGTAAATTACAGAAATCAATGGGTACCAACAAAGAAGTTAGAGAACTTGTGTCCTTATATTGCATTTGTCCCATTGTCTCAAATAAAAGGGTCAACACCAATGAATGGCCCTTAACTGGTATATTAAAATATTCCTGCTCCTCGTGAAGAAATAATTGGTATAATCCAAATGTGAATACAAATGGCAAGTCATTAATGTTATAGGTCCTGTGTAAGTCTCAAAAGTCACATAATAGACCTTTGGTAAAAAAAAAAACAGATACATTAATGGCATCCTTTACTTTCCTGAAGTGGGAAGTTTGATTCTACAGCTGTCCAGACATTTAGAAAGCTATAGCATGAAGGGGAGGTGGAGGCAGGGAGGGAAGGGGACTGTAAGCAGGAAGCTCTGGCCTACTTCCTCAGGAGCTTTGGAAACGCACTAGGGGTCAGCCAACAAAGCCAGATTGCCATTTCGAGCCAACTTCTTAACTTTTAAACATGGAATTTAGTATTTAGGGCGAGGACTAATAGTACAAGCAATCTAAAGAGTAACTATCATTGGACACAGGATTAACACAAATCTAGTGCACATGCACAAATAGTTTGGTATTATGTACACTATTCAACATGCTGATTTTTTAACCATTCAAATTGATTACTAATGAAAATATCCTTCAGAGGGGTTTATACAGAAGACATCTGGACCTAATGTAAAAGAATATTGAATGGATGACTGCAAAAATCTGAATTCGATCTAATCCTTTCCTGTGCAGTTTAAGCTTCACAGGGGGTCTGCTCGGCCAAGACATGGCATGCCAGAAAGAATTAAGATAAAATAGGAGTAGCTGCTAGATACAAATAAACATCACTCAAACATTAACTGCCAGTCATTTATTATGGTGTTCTGTCTTCACCACAACCGTGTCCGAGAAAGCTTAGCAAGGAAATGTGATTTAAATAAAATACGACTTGAGTATCTTGTATGGATGCTCGGATATGTTATATAAAACATCAATCTCTCTTTAAGGCCTACAGGTGGCAAGTACATGATGATGTGTCTTAGTGGGACAAAGTCTGTCTAACTGTTATTCAAACAAAGGTGGGGTCAAAAAATGTTGGCAAACATAATCAGCAACTGCTCAACCTTCCATAAATGTGTTATACTGTACTTTGAATACTGAAACAGTAACTCTTAAAGGTTTCCTTTTTTAAATACCAAAAGAACATAACTGCAATAATTGAGAGCATGAAAAGGAAAAAAGTTTGCTTAAAAATGTTGAATATTTGTAGCTAAAGTTCAGCTAGAAATTAAATGTATCTTTCCTGGATAACTAAATGTCAAATAAGCAAATTTGGTGTCTCTGGCTGTTGTAAAAAAAAGCCAGACATTTACTCTTAATCTGTTTAGTAGTTAATGCTGCTTGGCTGATGGCTTAAACATTTTTAAAGCTGTCTGGTTACTTCTTTCTTCTAGTCAAAACCAAATAACAAAGTTGTTTGCTTAATGCCTCCAAACCATTCCAAAATACTGTAGCTAAAAGTCTCTGTGACATCACGACCACATCAGTCATAAAGTGACATATTTCTCATTGAAATGTGTGGTCCAGCAATAGTTTGAACCGGTAATTCAACTTGAGACGTTTCCAGCAACCAGCCTACTACAGTTACAGCAGAACGTCCGGCCCACACAATGAATTCAGAGCCTCTCACTTTACGTCCCTTCCTCCTTCTCCCTGACGCTGCTGTTGGAGGGGAGGGAACCATGATGCAAGACGCCTGCAAGAGTCGCTGGACAAAAGCCACTCACAGTCTATCTGTATTTGTCACTCAAATACTCATGTCTACAAATATGTAATCTGACGATGTCTCACCAATCTGCTACTGACATCACAGCAGACACAGCGGAAGATACTTTATGTGGATAACATGTCTAAGCCAAAACTGGAAGTCTGTTCAAAAATATCTTGCCAAAGAGAGGAAAGTAGGAGAAAGCCAAGACGAATTTGACAAAACAGATTCAATGTTAAGACTTCAAGAAAAGATCATTAAAGAGTACAAAACCCTACAATTACAACTGCAATACATGCTCTCGCGAATATTTACAAGTTACAGTGTATACATTTCAGGCAGTGTTTCCTTTCTACTGCTTGTTTATTCAATACATTCATTCAGTCTTAACTCATATACCCACCATAACTTAAGTAATGCAGTAAAACAAGATAGAAATGCAGACGCACTAAAAATCATTAACCATGTGCTAGTCATCACTTGGCAACCGGATATACTTTCTCTTTTAAACTTGCCAGCAGACTTGTAAACACATGTCACTGCTTGAGCATGTTATATATTCAGAACCTGTTCTGTAACATTAATTTTAAAAATCATTAAATAATTATGCTCCTTTGTGATTTAGTTCTTATAGACTTGTGAGAGCAGTACGGAATCTTTGGTGCCAAACAAGAAGTCTCTGTTAAACCCTGCAGACTCAACTAACGTGCAAGCCCCTAAACACAAAAGAACTGTTCATAAGGGAGAGATGATGTTCTAAAATTAACAGGAGAACAACATCTGAGTGCATCACACTCATTGATCTGCAGAACTCGCCTCTAGCCAAGACACACAGCTGAGGATCATGGGCCCCTCTGATGATGACCTAGAAACATCCATGACAATGTGTAATGTTACACAGTGCTCGCCTGGCAAGGTACTCAGCGACCACTTTCTTTTCCTTGAAGCAAGTCAGCAAGGAGACTGCCTCTTATTATGTAAGACTAACAATGATTCCACCCTGGGATTCTTCAGGAATTCTTAAGAGCTTCTTCATTTAAACCCTCTTCAAATCTCACAATTAATCAAAGTCATATTTTCATTTTCGTCTCAGGTTTTTTTCATATTGAGAAACTAAAACCTAAAATTGACAACTTATATCAGTCTTAACCAACGGTCTGCTTAGACGTAAGTAAGACTGGTGTGGATGTATGCTCGTCGCTGCCATTTATTACATTTAACATAACGGTGATCGTTTCATCAATCAAATTGAATTCAATTATCACCTACATGTTTATTTTACATTGGTGAAATGCTCCACCAGTGAACAATCAATGTACATGATAAAGTGTACAATTTCTAAGGTAGGGCCGTACTATAAGAGAGTACGACATAATCACTCATAGGTATATACATTCAAACATTACTTACTGTTCTGCTCCATTTCTCTAATGTCCTCTGGTGGGATCTTGAGTTTGTCCACATGGTCACGTAGCACACTGGCCCATTTCTGCAAAGACTCCATAATGGTCCAGGGCCGTGACATGTCTGCAACAAACACAGCTAGACAGTTAGGTAGAGACTGAGGTGAGACAGCAAACTTGAGTAGGCCTTTGTGGTATAGGTCTCCATCCAGGATCCACACGCCACAGCGAGTAAGGTCTGCAAAGTAAAAGACAAAAAAATACCAGTTTAATACAAGCAATACTATTATTGTTTTAAACTACAGTCATTTTGCAAAGACTACTGCTGTTAAACAAACACAGGTAAAGATCAAAAAGGTTAACTCACCATCTATGTCCTCGTCATGGACATTTAGGTACAGATACTCCAGTCCTCTCCCTCTCTTGTTGTGATCAGTTCCTTGAAGTTTGGCCATAAGTGCTGTTTTTCCGGATCCATCTTCGCCTGTAAGATATGTCATTCATGTATTATGTTATCTGCCTTAAATACAATTACTAGCCTCATGTTTTATGGCTGTCAAGAGGCTGGCAAAAAAAATTCTGGTCAATAAATGTATTACTTAATATTTGAAAGTCACACCAAAATTAGCACGACCCTAACCGAGACATACTCTTTGTATATTGTGTTTATTTTGCTTTGCTTTCCAGTATTTGGCAAGAAACATAGCCGGGCCTGCGGACTATTTAATACATCAGAAAAGTATTTATTTCCTATAATAAGCTTTTGTTTTTGCACTCTGACAAACAGACAAACTCCAAACATTGCAGAAACATAGAATTTCACACATCTAGAACGAGTTGCACTTACCAAATAGCAAGATATTTTTTCCTGATGGCAACTTTGAACTTGATGTAGTAGAAACTTCACTCAGAATTTCGGTCCTACAACAAAAAAACACAGTGTCCCGTTAGCTTGATAGCCAAGTGGCACAATGACAGCTACATATGTTGCTACCAAAACAGTTATAGATCAGCTAGCTATGTAACATAACTTAACTATTACTTTTACTGTTCAAGAAGATTATCAACCGTTTTCAGCAAGAGTTAAGTCAGCCCTGTGTGTGTCCACGAGAACACTTTAAAAAAGCAGGAAATGATAAGTCATATCCACTGACCCGGCAACGTTGCTTACAGATAAAAGTAGCTATGGATCTGAATATATGAAACATGTCAAGCCCAATAACGATACGAGCCCTTATGAAAAGCGTCGAGTAAAGCCAAGATATATTTCTGCAGAATTAAACTTCAGTTAGTCGGTTATACTTTCTATTAAGGTTCCTGTTAGCTTGTATCCTGCATAACATGAGCTGGGTTTAAGGTGTTGTCATGACATGAACTACAAGTCTCTCTAACAAGAGAGACACTTGACTCGTTGATTCAATAACTTTGCCTGAAACTGTTAACTCGTCTAATGAACAATATTTGCTAACTACAATGTAGCTAATCGGTACTTTGCTGTAGTTAGCTGGGCTGCTAGCAGGAATACCGTTGACCGCTCGGCTTCTTGCTAATGTTCCTGCTAACCGGGCCGGTGTCTGGTTGTCAGCAACCGTCAGTGACAAAGCAGATCCAAAGCATTTGGTCTTTTCCGAGACGTGCCTCGGCAAACATGTAAGAGTAAAACAGAAAAACAGGAACTTGCCAAAGGTTTTGTCCTTCTTCATCTTCGTTGTTATTGTCGGCTGCGCCCGGGAGCTGTTTCTCCAGAACGGGAGCCATCTTCTCTTTCTACAACCACAAAGGCAAGGCCCTACTGCTTGGCCACCACTAGCACCGCCTTCATCCAAGTAACCGAGGGTAGGTTGCATTCATTTACTGTGACGCCGCGACGGGACATTCGGTCACTTTTGACCCGAAACGCAAGAGAAGGGTTAATGCACATTTGTAGGCCTACTTTCTCTAAGCCTAGTAGTGTTTACCACATGCAACTAGAAAATGCATTTCCTGCAGAAAATGCGTGCGAATGCTGTAAACTGTGAACATTTATGGCTGCATTTAGCTGAAAATGCAGAAAAAGCTGAATATGTTATTAGCTGAATGGTAGCTGCTTTTAGCTACAAAAATGCAGAAAAAGCTTAATATTTAAAAGAAAAGGTTTAAAAAAAAGGTATAAACAACAACATGTATAGCCTTGATGTCCTGAAATAGCTGAATAATGTAATAGTTGAATGGTTTCTGCAGCTGAAAATAGGCTGAAGGAATATCAGATAAGTAGTAGTGAATAAATGTGTATTAAGATGAGAAAAGAAAGTAAAAAGACTTGGGAAAGCAGAAGAATATTTGAACTGCAAACTTTTGAACTAACTTGATGGTGAATGATCTGTCGCCATGCCAAAGGCATTTGATGACATCCCATAATACGCTTAGATGTGTTGATGGCTGCATCGTTACCAAACCTGTGAAGTTTTGGGCCATTTCGAGCATTTTCACTGAAGTTATGAGAAAACCGTGTTTCATGGTGAGCATTGCGTTGCCATGGCAACGGCATTTGAAGACATCTCAAAACTTTCCCGTAGATGTCTTCACGGCTGGACTGTTAGAACACGTGAAGTTTGAGCACTTTTTGAACATTTTCATAGGAGTTATACATTACATTTGGAGGTTACATTACTCTCTCTCTTCTCTTGATCGCCCTCTCTCTGTTCTCTCTCTCTTCTCTTGATCGCCCTCCCTCTCTTCTCTTGTTCGCCCTCTCTCTCTTCTCTTAATCGCCCTCTCTCTCTTCTCTTGATCATTCATCATCATCGGTGTGTGTCAGTGTGTGAGAGAGAGTGTGGGTGTGTGTGTGTGTGTGTGAAAGAGAGAGAGAGAGAGAGAGTGTGTGTGTGTGTGTGTGTGTGTGTGTGTGTGTGTGTGTGTGTGTGTGTGTGTGTGTGTGTGTGTGTGTGTGTATACCACACCACAGTTGTCTCACAAATGGTGTACGTTGATCTTTTACGTAAAGGACGTCTTTTACGCACGCTTACGACATTTGACACTTGTAAATACCGACGTAAATCGACTTTTACGTCTTTTTCGACTTATACAATAATCGACTTACCATCGACGAAAATCGATGTTTTTACGTCTTTTTCGAATTATAAATTTTCTTTTCCAAATTTTTTTTCCATATTTGTTGTTGTACATATCGGAACTACAGGACTTTATCGACTTATTACATTATCAACTTACCAAAGACGTCGACTTTTATCCGACTTCCTTATAGTCTATTCATCATCACTTATTTACACATAATTCTACTCTTTTCTTTCATTTTTCTGAACCCTTTCGTCTTCTTATAAACTTGACGTTTGAAAACTTGATTGAACTACCACTTACTAGACAGCGGTACGGTTTCCGTAAACTACTGTAGGGTATTATGCGAATCTACACAACTACCGACGTAGCAATGGTTTGGACACTTCAAAACCCGGTAAAGCTCGTAAAAGTGACTTCAATACTCTTTTGGCACAAAGTACCACTCGTAACGCAACGGTACCGTTGCCGTAAACTTCTGTAGAGTTTTGAAAGGGCATCTACAGAAGTGCCGACCTGACAATCTTGTGCACTTCAAACTCGTGAAAAACTTGTAAAAGTATCCTCAATATGTAATGTAAACCTCCAATGTAATGAGAGAGAGAAGAGAACTAGCGGGAGAGAGACAAGAGAGAGAGAAGAGAACTAGCGGGAGGGAGAGAAGAGAACAAGCGGGAGAGAGAGAAGAGAATTAGCGGGAGAGAGAGAAGAGAACTAGTAAGTAGTAGTAGCCACACACAGTCACACACTCTCTCTCACACCCACACACACACACACACACTTTCTCTCTCTCTCTCTCTCTCACACACACACACACACACACACACACACACACACACACACACACACACACACACACACACACACACACACACATATGGTGTGGTGTCAACAGAGTTGTGTGTGTGGTGTCTGTGTGTCCNTCTCTCTCTCTCTCTCTCTCTCTCTCTCTCTCACACACACACACACACACACACACACACACATACTCAATACTGTGGGCAATCCCCACAGGAGCAATTTGGGGTGAAGTGTCATGCTGATTGCAGTGGGGTTTGAACTGCCACTGCGCCACACGCCTCTATATTGCATTTGTCTTAAATTGAGACAGCAGAAACATTCTTATATTTAGACTTTTTTTTTATTCAAACATGAACACATTTAACAACATTGCGTGGTCATTTTAAACTGTTTTCAATTTTGATCAATGAGTGCCGTGCAATACTTCTAGTATGTTTGGTGTTTGTGTGTGTGTGTGTGTGTTCGTGTGTGTGTGTGTGTGTGTGTGTGTGTGTGTGTGTGTGTGTGTATACCACACCACAGTTGTCTCAATGGCAATTTGAAAAGTGAATAGATAGCTCTCGACAATGAATAAATATATATGAAATGTAATATTGGTGTCATTTCATCAGATTCTTAAATTGAGAAGTTTTTTGATGGTTTATTTCTTAAAGTAAGAAAAAATAAATCTGTTCCATGCCGGGAATGTATGCAAACCAATGCTGTAACTTGTTACTGGTTAATTCTAGCTCAATATAAGATAGCATTTTTTAATAAGAAAAAGTAAGATGTATTTTCTCAAAGTAAGAGTACTTTTGTTAAGCAAAACATTCTTAACAAGATAATTTGACTTAAGAATTTTTTCCCAGAAACAAGCTTATTTTACTTTCTTAAAATTCCTTTTTTGCAGTGTACATACATGTATAAAACTGGGCCTACAATAATGTATAGGACAGCCTAAAGTGCAATGTTTAAACATATGGGACCTTGTGATGGTACCTATAATACTATAATCTCTCTATTCAAATAATAAAACAAAGCCTCTAGTTTACCATCGTGGATAGGAGCCACACAGTGATTTAGGAGGTTAACTATCTCACATGATTGCACAAGGATTCATGTTCAATGTTGTAGTTATTTTTTTACGATGGGTTGATTTATCTTTGGCAATATAATGCATTAATCAGGTTAATGTTATGCATATTTTCAGGCATATTTGATTTATAATATTTCTTATAACAACTTTTAAAAATAATATCAGACAAACAATGCCTGCCATCACTCCAGTAAACTCATAGGGATCACTGACCCTCGCTTGTAGACCTTTCATCTAATAAATATAAATTAAATGAACAATTTGGAAACCTAGATAAATTTGGTCATAATTGAAATCCAATTTTCATCAACCTTCAGCATCTCATTTGTTGATATTAATTTGTATTAAGATTGTTTAGTACTATTGTTGTAAAATAGAAAATATCCATTAGAGGGTGCTATTCCTGTTTGTTTTTCTAACTAAATGTGTGGGAATCATCATATTATTTGAAATGGCATCATATTCATAAAGAAACCTTCACATTAGTTTTCTTCTTATCAATTTGTATTTAACCTTGAATTCTGATTGGTCAAATCATATAAAAATCTGATAAAGATGTACACAATCCACAGCTTTTATTTAACTATTTGAAGACTGAATCTTCATCACGTCAAAATGACATGTAAATGGTGATTTTGCATATAACCATGCTCTTTTCCAAACTGTTGTTGAATGAATCCCAGACAAACTGAGTCACGCAGCACAACTATCAAGTAACTTTCCCATAAAAAAGGGTCCGGATGCTCATCAACTTTCACTATCATGTTTGTATGTGCGTGCTACACACTATAGCAGTAGGCTATTCTCCAAATCTGCTATTTCAAGCCACACTTCTCACAAGTTTGGAAAGTTGAAAACAATGTATATTTTATTGAATGACTGGTGAATTGACTGTACACCTTTAAGTGAAATATCAAGCTTTAAAATGTTTCAATCACAATCAATATTATGAACCTGTCCAGTGTGTACGTTTTTGTTCCATTCCTTCACTGAGTACTTAGCATGTCGGAGCAATAAACACCTTTTTCTTTTTCCTCAACCTCCTCAGTCTTTGGGTCAGTCCAGGCCAAATGCTTCAGGACTTGCAGACAGATAAGCCCTGGACATTTTATGAAACTCTGGGGGGTTTCGACTTACTCATATGTCTGTGAGACCTCTGTCTATGGAGCAGCGTGGTTGGCTGGAGTGGTGGTTATACTCATGGGAATGCATTCCAGAAGTTTTGCATCATGTGAAACCGAGCCTTTGCTGCCCCTTTGTCTCTGTTTATCTCTGCTACCAGCAAGGGAAACAAGCAAACTTTGTGGTGCAAAACATAGAAAGCAGAGCATTTTTATAACGTTCATAACCAATATAACGTGATCAACTATAGTATTCATGACAGTCATTTCTATTGGTTTTTATTGTGTAAAAAGATATGTTCTCAAACAAATGTGTTTTTGTTGTGACATGCAGCAATATTTCAATTGTAATTGACAGAGAGTGTCACACTGTTTTATTGGCTTTTCCACCGATGCTCTATCTTTACATATAAAAATTTATATTGTCTAACTTGCACATTTAAAAAATGTTCAGCTTGTATCATAATTTATTAATGCACAAAAAGGTTAATTAGAAGATGCTGTGTTGTGCTATGTGCTCTTGTCAACAGAAGGGGGTGCTGTCAACTCAATACAACTGTCTGTTTGGCGTGAACTCTCTAAAACATGATTGATAAATTGTATTTATTGAAAGGTCCCTGAGAAAAACATCAGTCGGGGAAGAAGGGAAAATAAAAGAAAAAATGCTTGTAAAACTGCCAAAAGCACTCGGTTCCCAGGGAATATGTTGTTAAAACATAAAAAAAATATATATATATATAATGCAACATATATTGCCAATTCCTTTGTTTACATGTCCTGAGATACATCCACTCCTTTAATTACTTTAGGTGACACATAAGCTAGAGAGTATGTCAAGTAGCCACTATTTATTTAATTGATTTTAAAACATTTTTGAAAATCTCCCCATATGCCCAAACCAGGACAAACAAACCTGTTTGGCTGCTTGAGCCCTTCTTTTGATTAAATACCAGGTTGGTGAGTTTTGAGTGATGTAATCAGATCTTCAGCCCCATTGTTGTGTAATTGGTGATGTATTTCTTCTAGTTTCACTGAGAGGTACTGTTAAGAAAACGTGTTTGTGTGAACTATCAGGGAAAGACCCAATCTCACCTTTCTTTTTCACATAAGGCTATGCAAATAGTAACAATGGAGCTGTTGATGGAATTATTGAGATGCTTTATACTAGATTATAATTTGTATTGTTGGAGAAAATTAAATTATCTTGATAGTACCACAACTTTATTTGATGAATATAGGCTATATCTGTAGTATACTTGGTTAGATACCTCAACAGTGTGTCAGTGGCATGCTGCTCTGGTCAAATTGTTATATTAGACAACATGTTAACCTGGAAGGGTCAGTTGTTGAATTTCATTAAGTTTCACCCCGCACCAACCTTGTCCCATTAACACATGGAAGGCAAATAGCAAATAAGGGCAATGCATTTGAATACTTTTGGTCCTCCTAACAAGAACATTCCATTCATTTGAAGCCAGGCATGGGTATGATCATACCATAAAAACGTTCTTGTATATATTTATAATGCCACATGATTTATATGAGTTATTTAGAAACCCATATTGATCCAAACATCAATGTGCATGTATCAGCAGATTACCCCAGCTCATGCATAAAACACATTTTGCTTCATGTAGCCTAGATTCAATGAAGTGCTTTACAAACAAGAGTTTGCCTTATAATTTACCTAAAAAGCCTTTAATTGTGTTATTCTTCTTTGAATGATTACCATTCATGATGCAAGTGGATGAGAATGCCAGAAACATCATTTTAAAACGAAAATCAAGGACTCAATGTGATTTCGTGTGAAGATGGCTGTGTGTGTTTGTGCTGCACAAGTGGTTTTGCTGACATAATGTCTCTTATGAATAATTGATAATATGGTAGGGTAATACTCCTGTGGGGAGGGGGCTAACATGAATTATTATAGTTGTAGTATTTGTCAAAGCAAGAACAGAGGATAAATTGTCATTTTAAAACTTGAAATTAGTGCCAGTCCGCTCATAATCACCCTCAGTGCGCAGATGTATTTATACAACAGAGAAATATGCACGAAAGTGGGTGTGTGCGGGAGAGGAGGGGTTAAAGATGGGGAGGGTATAGATTGCAGCCGGAGCAGGAGAGGGGTTGGCTGGATTGTGATAGCGACAGATGTCTAGAAAACGGTGAGGGGGCACTCCTCAGTTACAACACAGTCCCAAGCTGCACCTCGGAGAGCAGGGGAGGAATCTGCAGCTGTCACTCCTAAGGTTTACCTCCATTATCACATCCACCCGGAGCCTGGAAAAGAAGACCAAGTGATCACTCTCTAGAAATACAGGTTGGTTTCATCCGAGCATTGATTCATTTTTCATTTTCAATTGCATCATGTATGGGGTTGGTCTATGTTCTGTGGGTAAAAAGAAATAAAATAGGTGTAGAGAAAAAGAAAGAAAGATGGGCTGTAGCTTACCCATTGTTGCCTCGCTTTGCTTTTCTCCTTTTATGCAAATGTCTACATTTGAAGGCTGCGGACGATTTTTTTCGTCCGCAGCGGTCGAATTTGATTTAGTGCGCCTTCTTCTAGGCCAGGCGATTAAAAAAAAAACCTGCTGGGATAGAGGAAAGCGCTAAACAAAGTTATGAAGTTGCGATGCCTGTTAGATATTATCGATTCATTGTGGTAAAATTGGTTTTCTTTTGCACGTCCGTGTGAGTACCACATTTGCTCGTGAACAAAATGGGCAGAGCAGCTGAGAGAAGCAGCGGTGGGCGGGTTGAAATGGGGGATGGAGACCCCAATACAGCTTTTATCCCTCAAGTGTCCGTAGCCAGTGCAGTGTTTAGTGTATTTTCCCCCCTAGCGTTGTATGGTTTTATATTATATTGTATAGGACAGATTAGAAGTGTTTGCTGCCAATCTAATCAAATGACTTTTGTCAGAGAGTATCTGTGAGGAATCCCCATCCTTTGTTACTGGCCAGCACATGCTGCCGTACTAGCTGTATTCTTTATCTTTCCAAAATGAACGCCGATATATTGCTGTGTGTGTACTGTAGATTTGATTTTCGTACTAACCAGGTAATTGGCTTAATTTAACTTGATTTGATGTCGAAATATCACGTTTTCTTCTCAAACTGTACATTGTGGCTTTGTCTGATTGGGAGGCCTAGACGATGATTTCTAGCGAATAAATTGGCATAATACAAATAAACCACATGAAAAATAAATAATGATAAGTTAATGGTATATATCCTAACGCCAAATAAGTCAGACATTGCTGTAAAAGCACAAAATAACCTATTTTGATCAGCACTGGCCTGTTCATTTTACTGTAAATGGGTGTAATGGATGTGGAGCCTATCCCGTAGTGTATGGCGCATCCTGTCTTGATTGCTCCATTGCAGCACTATGGACAGTTCCCAGATTTTACGCACATTCTCTCCTAGTCATCTTTAACATATAATATGAGAAGCAACCTGTGTGAGATAACATGTTCAACTCTGAATAGGATTTGGCAAATAGAGATTAAAATTATCAGATTTTTTACATTTTAAATAAATGTGTGGGCTAGTCTCTATTATTGAGAATCATGAGATATTTAACAGCCTTCTTAAACCTGTTCATTTGTTCAGGGTCAGCTGATACACAGACAGTAAGATAAAGTTGCACTTCCAGTTCTCTTTTCTGTCACTGGAAGGAAGTTGCATTATTTTGCAATCACAAACTCTTCCTCTACAGCCACAACAGGGTTTCACATTAACACAAAGGACTACATGTTTGCTTTATTCCCATGACATCTACTTTTTTAGATTTTTTACTTTTCAGCTTATCATCTTGAGAGAGAAAAAATTGTACATTTACATCATAGATGCCTCACTCAGAGTTGTGGGCTGATTTGGCACTGGGCCTTACCCACCATTCCTGAAAGGGTAGAGAGTTGTCTGATCTCAGTAAGGTTCCCATGCATTTACCCAGTTTTCTAGCCAAACAGTTTGGCAGAGAACGGTTTTCTAATTGAACTTCTAGTTAACCTCTAGACAATAGACTTCTTTCCATTCCCCTTTCTGACAGAACAGTGTATAGCTTTTTCATTTTATCTCACACTGCATTTTAGAATGTTTGACACAAAAACAATCCAACTAATGTTTGCATTTGGTACACATTTAGTATACATTTTAACAACCTAACTAACTTATTATCCTCTCTGTGCTTTGGTGTTATATTAGATGTTCAATGTTTAGCATATGACCATGACAACTGGAAGATCCAGGTTTCAAACCAAGCCAGCTTGGGCATTTTTAAACCTTGTTTTATCTCTCATATTAAAATACACCTTCATCTGCTTGTTCCTAGGAGACACCATGGGAGGCAAACTAAGCAAGAAGAGGAAGGGATATGATGTGAGCGATCCCAATAAGGCAAAGGATGAGATTGCAGCAACAGTTACTGCAGCAGTCGAGGCTGTAGCCCCAGCAGTAGCTGATGTGATAGCTGAGGCAACCATTGTGGTGAATGAAGCTGTGGTGTCAGCTGTGGCCGCAGTGACTGAAGCTTTAGAAGCTCCAGAAGAGCCCAAATCAGCTCCTCCAGAGGACCCAGCTCCTGCTGCTCCAGTGGCAGAAGAACCTGCAGCTACAGTAAAGGAACCTGTTCTAGTAGTAGAGGAACCAGCTGTGGCAGTCGAAGAACCAGTTGCAGTAGTAGAAGAACCAGCTGCAGTAGTACAAGTACCTACTGTAGTAGTAGAGGAACCAGCGGTAGTAGTAGAGGAACCAGCTGTAGTAGAACCGGCTGCAGTTGTTGAAGAACCAGCAGCAGTAGAACCGGCTGCAGTTATTGAAGAACCAGCTGCAGTTATTGAAGAACCAGCTGCAGTTGTTGAAGAACCAGCTGCAGTAGTAGAAGAACCAGCTGCACTAGTAGTAGAACCAGCTGCTGCAGTAGTAGAAGAACCAGCTGCTGCAGTAGTAGAAGAACCAGCTGCAGTTGTTGAAGAACCAGCTGCAATAGTAGAAGAACCAGCTGCAGTAGTAGTAGAACCAGCTGCAGTAGTAGAAGAACCAGCTGCAGTTGTTGAAGAACCAGCTGCAGTAGTAGAGGAACCAGCTGCAGTTGTTGAAGAACCAGCTGCAGTAGTAGAGGAACCAGCTGCGGTGGTAGAAGAACCAGCTGCAGTAGTAGAGGAACCAGCTGCAGTAGTAGAAGAACCAGCTGCAGTAGTAGAGGAACCAGCTGCAGTAGTAGAAGAACCAGCTGCAGTAGTAGAGGAACCAGCTGCAGTTGTTGAAAAACCAGCAGCAGTAGAACCAGCTGCAGCAGCAGAGGAGTCAGCCCCAGTAGTAGAGGAGCAAGCTCTAGTAGAGCTCCCAGCTCCAGCACCTGTAGAAGAACCTGCTGCAGCTGTAGTATCTGTGCCAGAGCCAGAGGTTGTTCCTGTCATCACAGAGGAAGCGCCCATCCCAGAGACTGTTACTGAGCCAGAAGCTGCTGTGAAGGAAGCAGTGGTACCTGCTGCTGTCCCTGAGCCTGAACCAGTGGCCGAGGCTGCTGCAGTGCTAGAGCAAGCCCCAGAACCTGAGCCGGAGACCAAACCAGAGCCAGCACCAGAGCTGGAACAATTACCAGAGCAGGTGGTCGAAGCTGTGAAATCTGCAGCAAAGGAAAAAGTTGAAGAAGTTGAGCCAGAACCAATGGTTGCCACATCTGACACTACTGAACTTGGGACTGTAGAAGCAGAAGCACCTACAGTCTTGGAGACTGCACCAGAAGAGGAATATGTTGCAGCTGAGCCCGCAGCAGCAGAACCTGTCCCTGAGATTGTCATCTCAGAGTCCGTCTCTGCGGACCAACTTACTACTGAGTCCGAAGAGGTAGCTGAAGCCTCGGTGGAAGAGTTGCCTTGCCCAGAGCCTGAGGTAGAAAGCAAGATGGAAAATGGAGATATAGAGAGCCCTTCTGTTACAGATGTTGTGGCAGAAGTAGATGCCCTTCCAACTGTGAATGGAGAGTGCACAAATTATGCGGCGACACCGACAGAGGAATGTGTTAATGGTAATGAAAAGCCAGAGGAGACACAGATCAAGGAGCAGAGTGACTTTGAACTGAAAAAGGAGGTGAAGCTGAGCGGGGATGTCCAGGAAGTTTTCGACGCAGTGTCCGGCATGGCAGAGGGTCTCTGCACTGAGGTCACCCAGGCATTCTGAAAAAAAGGCCATCTTTTAAATCAATGTGAATTCAGTTTAATCCTCCCGAGAAAGCCATTAAGGTATCAAAAACACAGCTAGGCTTTCTGGATTGCTGTAACCACTGCAATTTCAATAGTGGTAACTCAGGCAAAAAGGATGTTTTCTTTTGAGTAACCAAAATGAATGCAACAACTTGAGAACAGAAAGAGACAGAGATAGAGAGAGAGCGGAAGATAAATTGGAGGGTAGACAGGAGATTTGAGTTTGGAATAGAAATGAAGACAGTGTGAAACTGGACAGCAGAGCAAAAATACTGGACAGTAAATATGATACTAATGAATGGAATGAATAAATTGTGTTTGTGTGTGAGCTCGATTAATATTGCAAAGTGGTTTATTGGAACAGCATTCGTTATTAGCATATTATCTGATCTGATTTAGAATGTCATATATCCTTTCTATTACTATATGCAGAGACATGACATAACTGTTTTGGCCTTTTATAATAATGGTACCTGTGAGGACTGTTCACTTTAAATTGATTGTTCAGAATAGAGAATAAAAAGAGATTGTTATAGCCTACACTGATCTTCTTTTCTTTTCATGCCTCCCCTCCTCATCAAGTGTGTTATATTTGTGGAAGGCACTGGGTTACAAGTAGGATTTATTCTATTTTATTCAAAGCTACAGATAACACATTCTTACTGATAAACCAGTAGATCCTCACACATTTCCAACCATAAAAGTACATTTAAATTAATTGCATAATTAGTTTTTGTGTCGTAACATTGTGTACAGAAAATCTACACTCTGTTCATTACAAACCACTTGTTGACATCTACCGCCACCAAGCTGATATTAGCTCTATTGGTTCAGAGTTTGACTGGTTATTCATATCTAGGAAGAGCAATGTCCTCTGGGTCACTGGCCACATTACAAATATGTTGGTTGGTGGAACATGGCTGCCACTTGTATGCAGCCTGCATGTCAAGATTGGGCAAACAAAAGGATTTGACGCCCTCCAGAAAAATCAGACTATTTTCTGAAGCAATCATCCTCACCTCTTTCTCTTTCACATCACCATGCCTACAGCCGAGGCTCTATGCCATAGCAGCACACCCTGCCAACATTTCACAGATCCATACCGGCAAGGGGAACTAAATGGGGGAGGGGCAGGAATGCTTGCAGGAGGCAGAGAAAAAGGAAGAGGGAGTAGGGGGAGGGTGTTCTGGGATGAAAGCAATTGCTAAGATGCTGTACAGAGGAAAATAAGATAAAGTCCCTTCTGGATACACA